ATCTTCTAGCTCTCTCTCTCTCTCTCCATCTTTCATCTACGAGTTCACTCTCGCCGGCATCAGTTTATTGATCTACCTTCACCAAGCCAACATCACCGCCCACTCTCTCTCGATCTCGCCCTCGATCTCGGTCAGTACATGGATATCACCTCTCGCAGCTCCAACAACACCAGCGTGGGAAGAGTTCTAGGTAACCCTCCTCTCCTCTCATTTTCTTTCCTCTCACACTCGCTCGCACAGACCTTTACAATCTCTCTCTCTCGGTCTCTCTCTCGCGCGTTACCCTTACAAACTGTTTGTAGCAGCAACAGTGGCAACTTCCCACCGATTCTCTTTCCAACATCCAGGTATATCTCTCGTCTGTTGTCCTCTCCTCTTTTTCTCTTCTTTTTCCTTCATTGGAATCAAACCCTCTTCATTGGATTTAACTAAATAAAAATAAATAAACCAACGCTAAACACTAGTTTTAATCCAACGCATTATGCAACAATTTCACAATTAAATCTCGTGTTGAATTGGAGAAAAGTGATACTTCATTTTTGTCTATGCAAGTATGAGTGTGGGGTTTGGAACCCTAGAAAGCGGTGCAAAGATTAGAGATTGAGAGAGAGAGGAGAGAGGGTGTGAAGGGTTGATTGCAAAGATTAGAGATTGAGAGAGAGAGGAGAGAGGGTGTGAAGGGTTGATTGGTTGATTCAAAGTGCTGTGAATGTGTTTGATGAATGTGCGTGCTCTTCACCTGTCTATTTCTATTTTTTTGATGAATGTGTGTGCTTTTCATTTATACATACAAGCAAAACTGCAATATTTTCAATGCAAAAGATGGAAAATGTTTTGAGGGGTGAGAGAATTTAAGTGGGTTTTGGAAGAATGGGAAGTTGAGAGTAAAAACTGTGGAGATGATAATGAGGTTTGAGAGACATGTGAAGATGGGATATGGGTTGGAGGTTAGAGAAGAGAGAGAGAGAGTAGTTTGGGTATGTGTATTGGGTTATATGGTCTGAGGGCTTTGAACATAGTCATGTGTTTTAGGGGTTTGGGATTGTGAAGGTCTAGTTGGGAGTTGAATGAGAAAGTGTTGATTGATGAAGAAGAAGCCATTTGAGTAGCCAACAGATCAAATGGTTGCAGCTGAGTACAGGGTACGTGTCTAATTGAGAAACTCATATCATCATCTGTTTTTTACTTTTGCCTATTGTCTAAGCCAAGTCATCATCTGTCAAAGGAACTCATATCATCATCTATTTTTTACTTTTGGCTATTGTCTAAGCCGTTCATGTTTTACTATGTTAAAATTTAAAAGTTTTGGTGACCTGGTTGGAAGTCCTTTGCATTGATTTATTTTTATTTAATCCGTCCTCACTCTTTCACAAATTTGTGAAGGGGCACCCCTCCCTTGGGCTAAATAGGGAAAGTGGCACCCCTCCAAACCTTGAATCATCTGCCAATATATGCCTAGGTTCCAACCTTTTATTTATTTATTTATTTTTTCTCTTAATTTTGAAAAAAAAAATGAAATACATTTATCTTGGCAACTACATGGAGGATTATGGGTTTTCCACCATTAAGCATTAATTTGTTGTTTAACCCTTGGCTGCTAAGAAATACTGATTACCCATGATCGCATTTGACCAGTTCTTTATTAGAGCTTATCTAAAATGTGTTATGGTCAATATTACATTTTTGCTGAGTTTAGGGTAACATTCAAACCCTGAGTGCTACTGATCTTGACAGCTATCATGCTCATGTATGGCTTCTTTCTCCTCCTTGTCAGTCTTATACTCGGCAAGGTAAAATTATTCTCTTCTTTGCTTGTTAATTTCATTTTGATTGGCAAAGTGTTCTCAAACTGTTATTATTTAGGTCTTCAAAAGGGCTCAGCTGATGCTCGGGCATCTTTTTTTCTCAAAATTCTTGAACTTATACCAAAAACTTCTCAGCCTCCTCTCTCATGATATTTGTGGAGAATGTTGTAGGGTTTGAGGTTTGTATAGAAAACTTTTATCTCAATAAATAAATTCAGTTCCCTTTACATATATATTATTAACACTTCTTTTTTGTTTCTTGCTCTCTTGCTTTATCTTCTCTCTCTCTCTCTCTCTCTCTCTCTCTCTCTCTCTATCTATCTCTCTTGGATTAATAACCAAACTTTATTGAGACATCATCATTCTTTTTCTCTTCCTTTTTTCATGTGTATATGTTGCAAACATCTGATACGCATAGAATAATGATTGAGATATTGGCAAAAGCTGATTTTGTTACGCAGGGGTTCATTCTTAGCCCATTGCAATTTGGTGTGCCCTATTCTAGGCCACGTTACTTCTGTCTGGTAGCTTCTCTTTCTATATATATATATATATATCTATTTACATGTAGGTAGGTGTGGGTTTGTTTGTTTGTGATTCTTTGAATGGTTTGTACATGGAGTCTGTTAGTTTATTTGGTGTTAAATTTTTTAGTCCCTAGTTATATGATTGTCCTTTTTAAGTGATTAGTGGCTATTCCCTTGTAAGATGTAGAAAAGGCATAGAAGAGTTGCTTCCAAGCCCCAGCCCTTGATTTGGAACAATTATTTGAGGAGGGGGGGGGGCATTCCAGAAATTGCATAGTTGTTTTTTAGTCAATTATTCTTTAAGAAAGTTTGCTATTGGTTGTCAGTTTATACGTGTGAAATATGTTTAAAGAGTTGAGAGTATTTTGGTATATTTTCAAACTTGCTGGACATGGGTTGTTTTTGGTTGCCCATGGCTAGTAGTTGGGTAATGTTATTAGGTTTCTATTTATAGATTTTAGTTGGTCCAGAAGGGCTTTAAAATTGAAGTAAGTTTCTCATTTTGGAGTTACAGTTTTGGTTAAAAAAAATAGTGGTAAAGCCTTCTATGATTAGGCAATATTTCAATTTTAACAAAGAACAAGGTAAAGATCATTTTCACTAGCTTTAAAGCTTTCCATGATTGTGTGATGCAATTCTAACAATAAGTTTGACAGAAAGATGGGGAAATGTGATGGGTATCCTAGGACTATTCAGTTAAGATTTTGGTATTCAAGTCTCACGACCCCCACGAGTGCAGCGCATGAGGGTCAAACTAGTCAAGATCTACCATTTTGATCTCAAAATAGGAATATTACTGTTCCATTAATAAATAGCTGACATCAAAGAACGGCTAAAAGGAACGTTGTTTACCTAGCCATTTGGCCCACTGTTTGTATCCGCCGTTTTGTTCTTAGAATGGGAATTTTTTAACCTAATGAGACGGGCACTACGATTTGGCGATATTTCAATTTTAACAAAGAACAAGGTAAAGATCATTTTCACTAGCTTTAAAGCTTTCCATGATTGTGTGATGCAATTCTAACAATAAGTTTGACAGAAAGATGGGGAAATGTGATGGGTATCCTAGGACTATTGAGTTAAGATTTTGGTATTCAAGTCTCACGACCCCCACGAGTGCAGCGCATGAGGGTCAAACTAGTCAAGATCTACCATTTTGTTCTCAAAATGGGAATATTACTGTTCCATTAATAAATAGCTGACATCAAAGAACGGCTAAAAGGAACGTTGTTTACCTAGCCATTTGGCCCACTGTTTGTATCCGCCGTTTTGTTCTTAGAATGGGAATTTTTTAACCTAATGAGACGGGCAATATTTGAATTCAGAGGGATGACTGAATAGGTCTACATTGATTATACTTTCAGATTGGGACATATGTCACCCATATAATACTAGTTGATGTTGCATTCATAAGGGTATGAGTAGTGTATGGCATCAGAATTCAAAATTGTCGCAAAGTACTAGATTGAGCAATTTCAATGAAGAATATGGCCTTTTGCTTTATGAATAACAGCCAACTATTATGAACTGACCAAAATATGAGTATTGAATCAAGGGGTGCTATGATATTTATTTATAAGAAAAAAAGGACTTTTTTTCTTAGAACCACAAAATCTTTAATGAATTGAAGTGTGGGTCCTTGTAGTCGTAAGGTAAATTACACAGTTTACCATGATAGCGTTTGTAGCTGAGTCAAACTGTCAATGCTCAATCTGCTTCTATGTTATTTCACTTATATAAATACTGTATGTGGTGGGTTGTTGACCTACATCTTAGTTTTCTTTAAATGAATAGTGGTTGCTCTAAAAAAATTTTCATTCCCATCGATGCATATATACTATCACTATTCAATTTACATTGCCTGTCTTTCTGATTCATGTGTCTCTTAGTATATTCTATAGTAGTTGCTCTACATGTATTGATGTGTCTACTATTAATTTCTTATCCTAGTTGTTTTCATGACAATATCTTGCTGCTGTATTGATTGTTTAGAGGGGTTTTGTTTCCCACTAATGTACTCAATTGAAAATGAAGACCAAGTCAACTGTGGGGTGTTTAAGAGAAAAAAAATGGTCTCTATATATGCCAGAAGTCAAACATGATATCGAAGAATTTTAGTGGTTTTAGAGGGAAGTGCTAACATGATAGGAGTTGATTGAATGCTAAGAACTGCTTCCAATGGTAACAATGCGCCAATTGTAAAATATGTGTGTGTGTGTGTGTGTGTGTGTGTGTGTGTGTGTGTGAGCGTGTGTGTGTGCGTGTGCGTGTTTTTTTTTTCTTTTTTTTTTTAAATTTAGCTTTTGAAATTGAGATTTTAAACATACTTCTTACTGAGGCTTTCAATGTCCTAATGTCTTTCCATACTGTCACCAATCTCTTTTCTTTCTTTAGTCAGATTCGCATATTGAGAGCCATTCTCTTATTTTCTTAATTTTCTCATGGATTCCGTTGGAGTCATTATTTCCTTCTATCAACTGAAGTTGGAGAGTTTTGCAGAATATGAACTTTGGTGGCCAGATGGGCCTATGTAGATTGCCAATTGGTTTGTTGATAAATTAGAACAGATAATTAGATTGAAAAATATTCAGCGCTTTATTTCTTATTTTTGCTACTCGAACTGTTCCCCATCTTTCAAAAGTCTGACAAGGTATTCCTAGAACGTTATCATAGTTATGTATGACAAATGATGGTTGATTGCAGGATTCTACACCACCAACCTGTGCATCAAACTTGGAGACAATTTTTTTCACCAACTTTGGAGTCAAATGAAGTTCACGGTGAACCAGAGATCAACAATGATGCAGGTATAGTTTAGAATTTTTCTGTTTTTGGTATCTTGGGAATTATTTTTTTATCTTAAATTAGAGATTTGTTGCTAGAGCATGTGTACTTTTTGACATGAAGATGAAGTTTTTTGAGAAATTTTGTTCGAGTGTTGCTTCATTCCTCCTAAAAAAGGTGGAAATGAAAATGTTGGAAGTCACGGCTTCATGTTTCCAAAAAATGGTGTGTATGTATCTGAAGTGAATTATTTGTTTCTTTCTTTTGGTTTTGAATACAATATTGATCAGCTATCATTCCCCATAATTCAAAATTTCGTTCATTAAAAGGCACTTCAAAGAGATTGGGTTCACATATTTAAAAAAAATTACAATACCCTCGACCAGTGTGAAAATTATAAGATGAGCATAACAATGAAGCTACACATTTTGTTTTGGAAGATCACCAAAAAGCAATTACTAGACTCCCAATGCCTGCATTGCATTCAAACTCATTTCGTTTGTTGCTTGCACACCAGTTTAATTCTTTATCACTTGCATTCCCAACTTATTTAGGGCTTGCTTGGTAACATTTACGTTTTCAGTTTATATTTACAAAAATTTTATAAACTGGTTTTGTTTATTTTTTGTTTATTTTTAGAAAAACATAAACTACAAATGCATTTGGTTTAGAAAAAATGTTTTAAAATATAAAAAAGAGTGAGAAATGGCAAGTGGTGGCGAGTGGTGACGAGTGGTGGCGAAAGAAGACGGTGGTGGAAAATGATGGCGGGTGGTGGTGGCGGAAGACGGTTGTGGAAAATGGTGGCAAGTGGCAGGGGGGGGGGGGGGGGTGGGGGAAGACGGTGGTGGAAAGTGGTGGCGGGTGGTAGCTAGTGTTGGGTGGTAAAAAAAAAAAAAAACTGAAAACTCAAAAT